GTATTGTCTTCTATTTAATAAATTTTATAACAGTATCAGGTAGAAAACACTTGGCAAGCCTTTCAAAAAAATACTTACTCTGCCTTTATGGCACCAACAAATAATTACAACAGTAAAAATCAATAATAATTTTTTTGAAAATTATGTAGATAATTACAACAGTAAAAATCAATAATAATTTTTTTGAAAATAATGTAATATAGTATTTATCTTCTGAAAATATTCATGGAATTGAACTTTTATTTTGGATTGGTGTGGACACAGCCAAGCTACAACTATGCTAATTTCAGAGACCCAATTTGCTGCAGTGAGTCAAAAGCTCAATTCCAAATAATAATTATACCAAAAGATTGTTAGTGTTTCAATGATCAAAACTAAGTCTGATAAATATATATTCAGTAATTGAATAAAGCATATTCAGCATTTCAGTTGAATGACTGGCATCCACCTTTTATCTATTGAAAAACCAGCATTAGATATTAAATGTTAAAAATTACGACTGGAAATGCAAAATTAAAAACTTCTTTCAAAGAAATATGAAATTGAAGCCTAGTAAATTTTGTAAAAGAGCTTCAGAGTGTAAAGATAGGACCTTATCTCTAGATAAATACTCTAGATAAGTAATTTATCTTCTTTACAGAACAGACAATAGACACAGACAACTTCTCTCATATTGGTGGATGTGATCTGAATGTCAAGCTTGGTACAAAAGTCACAGGTGCTAAAAGTGAAGTAAGAATTTCACCATCTATACTAAGACTTTGATGTCTGTCTTACATAGGTGAACAGCAGTGCTACTTTTAGTTTCTTATTGTTAATGTTTAGTTTCATATTATTAGTAAACATAACACTACCTTAAATTCTATGCTAATAAAAATTTCTTAGAAATCTGCATATACTAAAATAGTGTGTTTGCTTGCACTCATTTAATGTAGTATGTTTCTATTTGTAGTTCTGTGTTGCCTATGAGATTGCCAGTTTCTTGAGAGAAAAATAAATGCTCGGCACAATGACCACTATGTAGTTGATGCTCAAAATACACCTGCTGAATAAAATTAAATGCAAGTCCTAATTTTAAAGTATTTTGTACCTGTGACACTTTACTTAAAAAAACAGATAAATATCCAATTTCACATTCACCGTCACTACTGGCTGTGAATTTTGCCTATCATATTTCCCAAGATGCAATAAATCACTTTCAAAGACATTTTAACACACATAAGAGAAGGAGCTTCTGAGATAAAGGTCATCACTTTCATGTTAACATTATTATTTTTCAAGCCCTTAAAGTCACAATAGAGTTTATATGGCTTGTCACAATTGTAGCTGAAAAATGTTATGACTGCCATTTACCATTTATTCAATAAACAGCATTACAGAAATGCTATTTAGATTAGCAACAGGAAACAGAACTTCTGAATCACTTATAAAATTCAGGGTTTTTTTCTATTTTCTTACTCTTTCAAAATGGTTCATTTTCTTCTTTTACTTACATTTTTCTAGAATTTATCAGCCACCGACTTACAGTGTTAACTCACTCAAGGTAAAAATTGAAATATTCACCATTTAGCCTTTATGAGAATAAAATTTAATATTTATATGACACTCAAGATATTTATTGCCAACAATTTTATATAGGCACTATTACCTCTATATACTATTTTAATACATTAAGATAAAGAAAAATTTGCATCACTTCCGCTATAATATTTTAACTGCAAACCCTCTGCCATGAAAAATAATTTAGGATATGTCAAAAGAGGCAAAATTCTGTATAATAAAAGAATCTATTAAGTATGTTCTGAAAGCAATATTAAGATTTTAGTTTACCAAAATAAACACATAAAATATAAGTTTTATGTCATGTGTTGATTTAGAGTTTGCTAACAAAATTTGAAAAAGTCATATAACATCGAAAATACATAAATTTAAAACCTATTCAGACTAAGCTAAACTTGCATAGTTCTAAATAAAGGGCTCAAATAATAGTGATTCCAAATATAGGCCATTCTTTCCACATATATTTATTATGAGTGTTAGATAAATTGGTGAATAGTAAAATTTGAATTATGGAAAAGCAAAAAACATATCCCTAATTGCCAAGGTTCAATCATTCAGAATACGCTCGATACCTGTGGATGCAGAGAACATAACGTGAATGAGTGAACAGAGTGAGACTCACATGGACCACCTTTGCTGTCTGGGGAACTGGGTTACTAATGAGTGTTAAAGATTTGTCTCACTACAGTTCAGAGTATTGATCAATGTCTTCTACTTACAGGAGGGTCTGCGTCTTCAGCATATACTGTTGTGATAGGTGTACCCTTCACTGCATCTGGAGCCACCATCCCTTTGTAGATTCGTTTACTAAATACAGGAGGATAATCATTCATATCCTGGAAAACACAAGTAAGAGTTGAGTGCTTCAGCTGAAACTGGTTTAGAGACAGTTACTAGATTGACTTCTGCTCTTCGTGTCATGCAACCCATTCGCCACTGTCAGCCTCACATCTCTCAATTCCCTTACTCTCACTTCAGACTCTCACCCCAGAGAAAACTGCCAGAGCTCCTATACCATATTAACGTGTGTAGTATCAACCAAAGGCCATTTCGCCACTGTCAGCCTCACATCTCTCAATTCCCTTACTCTCACTTCAGACTCTCACCCCAGAGGAAACTGCCAGAGCTCCTATACCATATTAACGTGTGTAGTATCAACCAAAGGCCATTCCACTGGAATAAACAGTCTGTCGCCCCTAAAAAATACAACTTTCAGAGACTGAAGTGACTCTTGATATTTTCTCTAGGAAAATTCTAATGGTATGACATATAATTTAACCCTTTAAAAACAAGTAGGAATGGGGCCGGCCCGGTG